GGACACTACCAGGACTGACCCCCCCGTGTCCCCTCCCTGGCAGGAGGCCGTGCAGAACCTGGACAATGTTTACGTCAAGTACCTGCTGGTGGTGGCCGTGGTGGTGGTGCTGGGGCACCTGGTGCTGCGGCGCTTCTTCACCTCCTGAGGGGGGCACCGTGCACCCCCTGCTCTGCCCCACACCCCCGCGACTGGGGGGACCCCAGGAACCCCCAGGAGAGAGCATGGCTGGGGGCTCTGCAGGGCCTGGGGGCTCTGCACCCCCAGGAGAGGAATGGGGACAGGGGGGGCTCTGCTTTGGTGGGTTTGGTGCCTCGAAAAGGGGCTGAGGAGGGCACATGTCTGGGAGGGGACATCTCTGGGAGGAGCCATCTCTGGGATGAGGCATCTTTGGGATGGTACATCTCTGGAATAGGTTGTTTCTGGGAGGAGACATCTTTGGGATGGGGCATTTCTGGGAGGGGGCATCCCTGAGATGGGGCATCTTTGGGATGGGACATCTCTGGGATGAGGCATCTCTGGGATAGGGCGTCTCTGGGATGGGACATCTTTGGGATGGGACATCTCTGGGATGGATAGGGTGTCTCTGGGATGGGACATCTCTGGGATAGAGTGTCTCTGGGATGGGACATCCCTGGCCCCCCAGCTGCTGTGGAGGAGCAGAGAGGTGTGACAATGCCAATGTGGCACAAAACGCCCCAGTGGCACCGTGTGACAATGCCAGTGTGTGCCCCTGGTGGGTCCTGTGCCCCCGGGGCAGGAGCAGAGCCCCCTCCCCATCACTGACAGCTCCATCCCTGTGCCCCAGGGCGATCCCAGCCCTGGCTGCTCCAATCCTGCTGCTCCTGAGCCCAGCACTTGAGCCTTTCCCAGCACTTTGGGCCTTTCCCACCACTTTGAGCCTCTTTCTCAGCCTCTCCGTGGACAATCCCGACCCTTTTCCATGCAAACCCTCCTGGCTGCAGCCCTGCAGCTCTGGGGGAGCACCAGCAGCTCCCCCAGCACTAAAACCTGTGGGTGCCAGGACTGGCAGGGTCCCTGCCCTCCTCCTGCTCTCACTGGGAGCCACTGGAGCTGCAGTTACCCCTGGAGCAGGCACCAGGCTCCTCTGGGCAGGGATTGGTGCTGGTTCTGTTCCTGACCATGCCTGAGTGATTTTGGGGTGAGCCAGCTCCTCTCTCCCATCCCAAAGCTGATTTCTGCAGAGCAGGGAGTTCAGGCTGGGTGTTCCCTGTCCTGCCCAAGCTGCAGATGAAGGATCCCTCCCTCTTCTCCCTCTGCAGGCTGAGCAGGACCAGCCTGGATTTTTAACTCTCCCATTTCTCCTGTCCCTGCCTCTTTTTTTTTTTAACAGAATAACCAACTTTTGCAGCTTGCTTCCATAGCTGAGCTTGGCATTTTGCTCCTGGCTGCTCCCTTTTGGGAATGCTCTCAAGAGAAAAGCATTAAAATATTTCCTGTGTTATTCCCACTGCTGCTCGGTTGTGCAGGGCAGCAGAGCTTGGCTGTGCTCAGGTTTTGTGGCCACAATTCAGATTTTGTGGCCCCCCCCGGCTGCTTTGTCCCCTTGCAGATCCATTTCTCCTCACCAAATTCCCCTTCCCATGGTGCCACCTCCTCTCCCAGCTCGGGAGAAGTTTAATCTCGAATTTTACCTCGGGTTTAAAGCCATTTCTCTGCTGTGAACCAGTTTAACCAGTACGATCCGCGCTTCCCCCTCCTCCCCAGCTCCTTTTTGGGTGCAAACGCCACCAGATGGAGCCTTGTGGCCACGATGGGTACGAGCCACCGTCGTTATTTCCCCCTTTTTTTTTTTCTCCTCAATCGACAAATCATCGTCGGTTCTATGCTTGGGTTGTGTCCAGCAGGACTTGGAAAAAATAAAAATCAGCTTTAATTCGCTGCTTCAGACACACTCCTGGTACTCCGGAGGATCAGGGAGAGCTTTTGGTGCTCATTTAATTCTCATTTCCCGGCTAAAGCTCCCCCTTGCAGCTGTGAGGCCATAAAGGAGAATTTTCAGATTTATGGGAAAGGACTGAGCCTTAGGGAAGCCCAGGACAGGGGGGAGAACTCTTCAATGGGTGCTGTACAAAGGAAAAATTCCTTTTTGATCCGTTTTTCTCAGGGGATTCGCAGAGGGAGGAGCTCTCAGGGTGTCAGGGCCTCTCCTCCCTCTGTGCTCTGCTCCTTCCTGGGTGGAAAAAAAGCTTGAACTGGGACTGGGGATGCTGAACTGGGGCTGGGAATGCTGAACTGGGATTGAACTGGGACTGGGAATGATGAACTGGGACTGAACTGGGGCTGGGAATGCTGAACTGGGGCTGGGAATGCTGAACTGGGACTGGGAATGCTGAACTGGGATTGAACTGGGACTGGGAATGATGAACTGGGAATGCTGAACTGGGGCTGGGAATGCTGAACTGGGGCTGGGAATGCTGAACTGAGACTGGGAATACTGAACTGGGACTGAACTGGGACTGGGAATGCTGAACTGGGGCTGGGAGGGCTGAACTGGGACTGAACTGGGGTTGGGAATGCTGAACTGGGACTGGGAATGCTGAACTGGGGCTGGGGATGCTGAACTGGGGCTGGGGATGCTGAACTGGGACTGAACTGGGGCTGGGAATGCTGAACTGGGATTGGGGGTTCTGAACTGGGACTGGGGGTGCTGAACTGGGAATGCTGAACTGGGACTGGGAGGGCTGAACTGGGGCTGGGGATGCTGAACTGGGAATGCTGAACTGGGAATGCTGAACTCGGACTGGGAGGGCTGAACTGGGAATGCTGAACTGGGATTGGGGGTTCTGAACTGGGACTGAACTGGGACTGGGAATGATGAATGGGACTGAACTGGGACTGTGAGTGCTGAACTGGGACTGGGGGTGCTGAACTGGGAATGCTGAACTGGGACTGGGAGGGCTGAACTGGGACTGTGCCACAGGAGGAATTCCCCCAGGAGGATTTATCCAGGAGGATCCATCCAGGAGAATTTATCCAGGAACAATTCATCCCGGAGAATTCATCCCAGAGTTTAGGGTGGTGCATGGGAAAAGGCTGAGAACCCAAAGGAGTTTTATTTTTTTCTCCTCCTGAGCCTCTTTTTACACCTTTTGAGCCTCTTTTTACTCCAACTGAGCCGATTTGAGGGCTGTGTTTGATCCCACCCTCTCCCTCCTGAATGAATTTTTCCTGGATAAATCCTGGATGCAGGAGCCTGTCCCTGCTCTCTGTCCCCTCCCCAGGCTCCAGCTGTCCCCAGGGCTCTAAGGGACACTTGGTGGTGGCTCTGGAAGGGTGGGACAAGGACACAAAAGTTGTTTTTCCAGGGGGACAAGAGGGGGAAATGCACAAGTTGTCCCTTTGCACTGTGTGGGACACGCTGGGGTGGCTTTGACCTGCAAAAAACAAGCAAGAAAACCAAACCAAAAGTGTGTGTTTTTACATATAATCTGTTTTTAAATGATGTAATATATAAAAAATATCTATCTATATCAAATAAAAATGGTACACTGAGTGCAAACTCAACTGGCTGTGTGCAGGGTTTGCTTCCAGAAGCTTCCAGGAGTTTTGCTCCTCACTCCACGAGCTCTCCAGCCTCAGCTGCCTCCTTAATTTTGGGATTCCAGGTCTCCTTTAGCTTTTTTTCCAGAGTGAGGAGCTAAAAGGGAGAGAAATCTGCTGCTGCTGCAGCTCCTGGTGCCATCCCTGAGCTGCTTTGGGGATGGAAAAGGGGAAATTGGGGTGGAAAATGGGAGATTTTGGGGATGGATTATTGGAGATTTTAGGGATGGAAGAGGGGAGGATGTGAGGATGGAAGAGGGAGAAATTTGTGGGATGGAGAGGAGAAATTGTGGGGATGGAAAAGGGGAAATTGGGGTGAAAGATGGGAGATTTTGGGGATGGATGATTGGAGATTTTGGGGATGGGGAGGGAGGTATTTTTGGGTTGGAGAGGGGAATTTGTGAGGATGGAAGATGGGAGATTATGGGAATGGGGAAGGAAAGATTTTTGGGGTGGAGAGGGGAAATTGTGGGGATTAAGAGGGAGATATTTTTGAGGTGGAGAGGGAAAATTGTGGGGATGGG